TACTTAGTGGGGAAGGAGGAAATCATCTGAAATTAAAATTTCAAGAGAACCCAGGGCTGATTTCCCAGTGTAAGAGGTGCAGGGACTCCCCACAGCATCTGCTAAATCAGTTTGTGGCCAAGCTCTTCACTAACAGGCCACCACTCAGTCATGGAAAACTGAAGAAGGAAGGAAAAGATGATACTTTACAGTTCTGGGTCTTGGGAAGGGTGGAGTGACTCTGGGCCTCTCCTGTTTATTTTCAGAAGCAGCAGCAGCAGCAGCAGTGAAGTCACAGTGCTTTTTCTGCAAGCATTAAAAAATGAACACATCCATGCCCACTTGGTGTGGTTTTAGGGTGAGCCTGAGGTGAGGTGGGCACCACCAGCACGAGGCAAGTTCACCACAGGGCTCAAGAACAGCCCAGGTGAGTATTCCAGAGCCAGTCAGGCAGCAAGAGTCCCACAACGTGCCATGGGCATGTCACACCACGGGATCCTCTGGAGTGACAAGGTCAAACAAGGACCAGATGCATGTTCTGAGATCACTCTGGCCAGGAGGACACAACTTCTGACTGTGCTGCCAAAAAAAAAAAGAAAAAAAGTAGCAAGAAAGTAGCTATTGTACTGTCTGAACATGCATTTGCTTAAATAAAAACCCAGATAAATCCAGATATTAGCATGAGAAAGTGAAGCAATCCAGGCGTTCTGCACAGTAAATGACAGCATTAGTGAGCCAGCCTCATCACCAGTAGGAATTTCTAAAAGCCAAGCAAGCAGCTACATAATTGCTTTAAGTAAGCTCTGACTGAGGGCTGAAACTCCATTTGAGTGGAGGATGAGGGGGAGAACATCATCCCTCCAGAGAAGATCCTCCGAGACGTGTAACTGTAGAAAGGCTGGCGAATCCAACATTGATTGGGAGTGAGGTAACCACAAACACCACTGGCTCAAATGAAAAGGGATTCAGGGGCTGACCCAGAAAACAAGCCTCGTAACCACCGGGATGAAATTTTAATGACAAACACAAGAAGCTCTGCGTGCAGGCCAGATTGAATTATCTGATGTCAGGCAGCACAAAGGGGAGCTGCTCGCAGCCACCTTCAGCTCCCAGCTCAGGTTGCACTTAATCAATCCTTGATATTCTGCCATCTCCTGGCTTCAGCCTGGCCAGCAGCGTGGGGAAAGTGGAGAGTGCATGGAACAGGGGCACTTCTCTTTGCTTCCTTCACAGATTAATAAAGAACTGCTCCTGAACCAAACTCTGCCTCTATAAATCACATCTGCAGCTGCTGGCTTAAGTCGCTCTGCCCACAACCTGTATAAATTCCCTTCCAGGAAGATTAAAAAGCTCTACAGCAACTAAACTAAAAATGATCCTTTGCAGCAGATGAAGCAGGACAGTGAGGGTGATAAGATCACACCTAGCACAGCACAGGTTCAAATCAATCGGTGATTCCAGGCTTGCTCTGAGATTCCCAAACACATCAACCCCAGCACTCCTGCTCTCCCCAACCAAAACTCCTCTCAGAACTTAATCTGGCTGCTGCCAAAAAGAGAACTAAAGACTCAGCAACAAAAGGACTGCTAAGGAGAATCTCCATCTTTAACGGATCAGGGAGAAACAGTGACAAAAGATGAGGAAAAGCCTGAAGGAACTGTCCTCAGGGTACCCAGGCTGGAAAACAGGGACAGGGAGCAGAATGAAGCCCCCGTGATCCAAGGAGAAAAGGTTGGCATCCTGCTGCAGCCCTTGGGACACACAATTCCATGGGGTGGGATGGGATCCACCCCAGGCTGCTGAGGGAGCAGGGCAGAGCTCACCCAGACACTTCCCACCCTTTCCCAGCAGGGAGGTCCTGGACCCTCCTTACCCAGGGGACTGAAGCCAGCAATTGTGATTCCCATCCAAGAGCTGGGCTGGAGAAGGAGGACCCAGGGAAATGCTGGGCTGGAAGGAGGACCCAGGGAAATGCTGGGCTGGAAGGAGGATCCAGGGAAATGCTGGGCTGGAAGGAAGATCCAGGGAAATGCTGGGCTGTCAGCCTGGCCTCAGTGCCAGGTAAAATTCTGGAACAGAACATCCCAAAGGCAAAGTGCTGTGTCCTACCCTGCCACCACCACCCCAGGGAACGCTGAAGGCCTGGGGAGGAGTGGCTGCACAAGGTGGACAAGGCTCTGGGGGTGCTGGTGACAGCAGCTGCTCACCAGCCCAGGTGTGCCCAGGTGTGCCAGAAGGCCAAGGGCACCTGGGCTGTCCCAGGGCAAAGCACCAGGCACTCCTGGGGCACCTCCAATCCTCTCTCCAGCTCTGGACCTTGAGGGGCTGGAGCACCAGGAGTGGCTGAGGGAATTCTGATCAAAGAACTTGCTAAAAACTGAGCAGCCCTGAGCATCCAGTGCAGCAACCTGAGACAGAAGAAAGGTGATGTCCCACAGGATAGAAAAACCTTGGGAAATGCCTCACAGTTCTGGATTAGCAGCACCAGGCTTTGCAAACTCACACACCAGCTTAGCTCAGATGCACAGGTCCCTCTGTAATCACTGATTATTCCTCTGCAAAGCTGAGCACACAAGTGTTTGTGAAATGGGAGAGAGAATCATTAAATGTAACAGATAATTGATATTTATACTGAGAGGAGAATTGACTTTGTAAACCTCAGCTATTAAATTACTTCTTCAGTACTGAAAGAATGCAACAGTTTGCTATTGATCACCAGATTCATTACACTTTTATGACAAATGTGAAAGCACAATGCCATTAAGTACAATTTTATAACCTGGGAGAGACAGGGGAGGGTTATGGTTGGATTTAAAAAATAAATACACAGCAAACAACAAAACCCCAACAAATTCCTCAATATCCTAAATACTTACCAAATGCACATAAAGTACTTCCCTGCACAATTTGCTGATGCCCTTGGAAGTTTTAGTTATAACTTGAAATCTCCCTTGTTTGATATTTACCATTTACCAAATTAAGAGACAAACCAGGGTGAAGGACAAGCAGTAAACAGCAAAGGCCATAACATAATTTTTGTGTTCTAATACTCTAAACTTTTCATTTACTAACTAGGTAAATTCAAAGAGCTGAATTCTAATTTCCTCATGTTGTTTTATCAAATAATTGCTGACAGCTTCATAAAGAGATAATTCATTTTTCAGAGGAATTACTGGAAAGTCACTTAAGTGAACATCACTTTTTCTAAAGGATACACACATGTAGATTTCCCTCAGTGATCTCTTACCTGCTCACCTATTTTCAGGAACCTGAAATATTTAATTGTACCACACCCCTGATGTAAGTTCACCAAGAAAATCAGGAGATACTGGAGGAACTGGAGAACCAACATGAAAAGAATGTGTGCAACTGTCAGAACCCAACTTCTGTAACACACCAAGCCAAAATATGGACTATTTGAGTTTAAGATGCAGGATTCATAACCTTTGTTTATTAATACTTCAGAAATGTAGTTTAATCTGCATAACTCCTATCTACTGCATGTCTGGATATAAATACAATGGAGAAAATGAAGGAAAAGAAGAGATGGAGGTTTTGGCAGCAGCATGGAGACAACTGGGTTTGCTGTCTGACAGTTTAGAGTCCTGTTCTCAGTTGTCCAAGAGCATTCAAAAGCACTTCCATGAAATTAAAGAGTTTTCCAGGCATCTTTCTGATAACCAGTCTGTGAATTCTGAAGTACTTTAAAAGCAGTTTTCTCTAATCCCACACCATTAACATGCAGTGCCACCAAAAAACATTGAACTCTGGTATGTCAAGGACAATGTCCCAGCTCCCCAGAATATCATCATTTTATTTAGCCAAGTGATTACTAATTACTGAACCTGTGTAATCCAAACAGAACACTGAATCACTGTAACTCCTAAAAATTTCTGAGGCTCTTAAAATTGTATTTAAGAGCATAAACCACATGAATAGCTAACATTAAACCAAGGTCCAGAAAACTTCTCTATCAGGAAAAGAGAAGTTTGAGTTTATCTATTCTGAGTGGGTAATTTTCCTCCCAGGTTGTCTTTTAAGTAAGAATGCAGAAAAGTAACAGTCCTTCTAAAGTTATTTTTGTGCCATGACAAGATATCCTTGTGATTAAGAGATTCTTATGGAAAAACATTAAAAAGGGGGTTTTTTTTCAGTAGATGTGTGAAATGTTTAATACATTCTGGGTGCTTCCACAGCAAAACAACAGATGGAGTTCATCAGAAAGCACCTGAGTTTTTACAGGAACTACTTGCACATGAGATAACTTTTGAATAGTTCCATAAAAATTTGAACTGCTGAAGTAAATTGTAGATAAACATCCTTATCAGCCACTTAAGGACAGCCTGCCTCAGGAGCTGCAGGTGAATCCATTCTCATGCTTCAAACAGGTGCTGCTTTTGAATTTATTAAAAGAAGCACCTGAGATTTTTCAAGGTGAAGGTGGAGTGAGCCTTATACAGACTGGTAAAGATGGAGTGGGCATTACACAGCCTGGGAGAGGTGGAGTGAGTATTACACAGCCTGGTAAGGATGGAGCAAGCTTTACACGCTGTTGTGTTCACACTCTGGTGAAGATAAAATGAGCAGTACACACTCTAGAGAAGATGGAGGGGGCACTACACACCCTATAAAAGGTGCAGTGGGCATTACACACCCTATAAAGATGAAGTGGGCATTACACACCCTATAAAGGTGCAGTGGGCATTACACACCCTGTGAAAGATGGACTGGTCACTACACACCCTATAAAAGGTGCAGTGGGCACTACACACCCTATAAAGATGAAGTGGGCACTACACACCCTGTGAAAGATGGAGTGGGCATTACACACCCTATAAAGATGGATTGGACATTACACACCCTATAAGGGTGCAGTGGGCACTGCACACTCTGTGAAAGGTGGGCTGGGCATTACAGACTGTGCTGCAGGGGCAGTGGGCACTGCACTCTCTGTGAAAGGTGGGCTGGGCACTACAGACTGTGCTGCAGGGGCAGTGGGCACGGCCCAGCCCGGTGCTCACCCAGCCATGACCACCCCGTCGCAGCAGTGGACGTCGCACAGGACCCGGCCGGGCTCGTAGCGCAGTTGGCTCACGGCACCCACGCGGTTCTGCAGAGAGGACACAGGGGTTGGTGCTCCCATTCCTTCAGCCACTAAAATCTGCTGCTGGGAAACTCCCAGCTTTGCTACTGCTGCTGAGAGAAGACACATCCAGCCCAAAAAACCCCCAGCAGCTTTCAGCCGGAAAGGAGGAGCTGCAAAACACAACACCACCTCCCCTCTCCCCCTTGCTCAAAGCAGGTTCCCATTTTTCCCCAGCACCTGGATCCCTCCAAGGAAATTCCCTCTCACCTTCCAGTTGGTTTTCAGCATGTGCTCTCTGGCTCTGCAGTTTTTGAGGGCGAGCTTCCAGCAGGAATGGTCGGAGATGCTCATGTCCAGCAGGTATCCCTCCTCCTGGCACAGCCGGTACCACAACACTTCATCCTCTGCAAGGATTTTCCACGTCCTGCTGACCTGGAAATCAATGTTTATATATGGATCTCTCATAAATGAATAAGGAAAAATTAAATTTAATATGAAATACTAAGTAGTACCTGAAATCAAAACACAGAAATTAATACAGGCCTGTACTAAGATGAAAGTCCTACTTAAATATGTTTAAGTCTTTATACACCTGAGTATAAACCCCAGGCCTTTAACAAAAGGCTTGTTTTCTGTGGGTTCTTCAGGAAATAACTGAATTTATACTCCACTAAAACTCCACATAACGTGGACACACTGTCAACCTGAAATATCAGTGACTGGAAAATTTTGACAGGAAAAGCAGCAAGAAAACAATTAAGAGAGAATTGTGAGCTTAGAGCAAAAATATGAATTTATTTTCATATTTGTAGCTAAGAAACCCTCTCAGATCACAGCACCATATCTCCGAAGTCCCACTGACAATGCCTGATTAGGGGTATGACATTAGTGATTTATAACCTATTGTATTACAGTATGCATAAATAGGAATGAATTATTAAGTTTTTCAAGCAGCCTCAAGTTGCTGCCCATTACAGAGAGAACAACTTCATCACAATCAATTGTGGGCTCAGAATTAAAGATTCAAGAGGTAAGAGCCAACTTAAGTAGCTTTTTTTTCCCCTCTGTAATTCTTAATTTAAAAAAACAGATGTAACCAATGAAAGCCACGACTGGTGAAAGCAGCAATCAATTGTGCTCTGTTTCTAAAAAGATTAAAAGAACTTTCTGAGACTGACATCATTTTCACTAAGTTACAATTAAGCATCTAATGTTCATTTCAGTCCCCAGATTATGCCAAGAATCCAAGCCTCCCATGGACACAAACTCTCCCAGGACCACCTCTTTATATTTATTTGCCATTTTTTCCATAGTCACACACTCAAAAAATGTTTAATATGATGAAAGAAGGGGTGATCTGAATAACCTGCAAGTGTTTTTAAGATTTGAGACCTACAGAGAAGAACAGTGCTCAAACAGGAATATCCAAATGCAGCAAAATGAATGTTCTTAATCACCCAGAGAACTCAATAATGCCCTTCCATCCTCTGACAAAGGAAACAAACTGCACAGGGCAAGAACAATGTCCTGAAATGACAGAACCAGCACTGAGGCTTCTCCAGCAACACACATCACCCCAGAATCAAAGTGCTGAGTGCTCCTTTCCCTGGAGGGACACACTCAGCAACTTCAAAAGCACCAAAAAGAGGCAATCCCAAATCCAAACTATTAGGAATTTGCTCTCAATTTGATTCGAAAGTAGGATAAATATCTGTGTGATTGCTCCAAGAATACAAAAAAAAAACCCAACCCCAAAGCAGCTTTGTGCTGACACACCAAAAGAGCAGCTGTGGTGCAGGAGTGCAGCTCCCCAGGCAGAACCTCTGCCCCCTCCCCAAACAGCAGCACATTTTCCTGACAGGGACAGGCTGAGCACACGCACAGGGAAGCACAGCCAAACCAGGCCAGCTTTTGCCTTGCTTTCCAAAAGAAAAATCAAAAATAAACACACACCTTTCAGTCTGCCAAAACAGACAATATTGCACAGACCTTTCAAGTTTCAAGGTCTTAAAAGCATTTTATAAAGACAGTAAAACAAAAGAAAAGTGGGGGGAGCTACATAAAATTTCAACTGCCTTTTCAACTTTCAGGGGGAATAAAGATCCTATCCTCTCCTGATTTTTTTTCAATCAAATTACAGCGAACCCTGCTGCTTTACAAGCCTGAATTTCCAAAGAGTCCCTAACCCAGCCTTTTCTTACAGCCCCAAACTCGCATGCCAATCCCTTGTAAAACCCCACTGAGCGAGGCTCAGCTGCACGAAATCACTAATAAAGAGTCTCAAGCATTTCACTTTACAGCACCACTGTGAGCTGCAGCATTAAAACCAGCCATTGGCTTCAAGTCAGCTTTATTAGATCTGCTTGACTTGGAGTTTCAGGTGAGGCCCCAAAAGCCAGGGCATTATGGCTTTATTTACATGCACCCAAATGCTGGGTGCTGGAGAGGAGCTGAGATGTGCAAAGCTCTTGTTAAAACTGTTTCCAAATCTAAACTGCACAGAAACTCCTGCAAGGATCAATGACAACATCTTACAGACTTGTTTATAGATTTGGAGTCCTGAATTTAATTTTGTCTTCAGTGTTCCTATTATCTTTTTACAACTGTTCTCAGCAAAGAAAGTTTGGGTTCCCCTGAGCTCCACACAGGGACAGTTTTATATTTTATAGTTCAGCAAGTAATAATGTTCTGAAGGACTTCAAAGGCTTTTGCTGACATAGGCTTTGCTATTTGGTTTTGCCTCTGGGGGATATTTTTTCCCCTAAAAAACCCCACCTCTTCCATCAAATCCAAAATTTCTTCTAATCCCATCTAAATCAACTGGCTCAAATCCTAATGAAGGTTTATTCATCCCTCTGCATCTGATAATGGTTTTTATTTCACTAGGTTTATTTTCTTCCCCAGACACACAAAGGCAGAGTCAAGGCTCATTTGCTGAGACCAGGGGCCTCAATTAGAACTAGCTGGACTTTGAGCTCAGTACAAAAAATAGTGCCAAGTGTTTAATCCAAAGCCATTCTGATGGAAGCTGCTCATCTTTTCTGTTCACAGCCCTGAGCACAAAATGGTTTGGGCTGGAAGGGACCTGAAAGACCACCCAGTGCCACCCCCTGCCATGGCAGGGACACCTTCCACTGTCCCAGGCTGCTCCAACCTGGCCTGAAACACTTCCAGGGATCCAGGGGCAGCCCCAGCTGCCCTGGGAATTCCATCCCAGCCCCTGCCCACCCTGCCAGGGAACAATTCCTGCCCAATATCCCATCCATCGCTGCCCTCTGGCAGTAGGAAGCCATTCCCTGTGTCCTGTCCCTCCATCCCTTGTCCCCAGTCCCTCTCCAGCTCTCCTGGAGCCCCTTTAGGCCCTGGAAGGGGCTCTGAGGTGTCCCTGGAGCTTCTCCTCTCCAGGTGAGCACCCCCAGCTTTCCCAGCCTGGCTCCAGCCCTTGGAGCAGAGGGGCTCCAGCCCTTGGAGCATCTCCTCCTCTGCTCTCACTCCAGCTGCTCCAGGTCCTTCTCATGTTGGGCACCTCACAGCCAGGGGCAGCTCTGCAGGTGGGGTCTCACCTGAGCAGGGCAGAGGGACAGAATCCCCCCTCCCTTCCTGCTGCCCCTGCTGGGGGCTCAGCCCAGGGCAGGGATATCCTTATCCATCCATTTCTCTGCTCTCTCTGGGAATCACAAGGAGGATGGATGATGGCTTTTGCCCATAAACAACATTGATGCAAAACCATGCTCAAAAAACCACATTCAATTTTCTTTTTGTAAATGTATGAACACTAAAGCCTCAACAGCTTGACAATCCCAGCAGCCCTGGAGGCAAGCAGCTGAAATTCTTGATTTATGCACGACAATTCATCCCTAAATTCCTAGAAACAGTCTCCCTTGCCCTAGATACATACACAATTCCTGTGTTGGTAAACACTTCTAAACCTTCTCTAAGATGAAAACCTAACAGGTCAAGGGAATTTCCCACTGATCTGTTCAGAAACAAAACTGTCAGTGCTGCTGAATTCAAACACATCCCCTCATCACCAAGCTGAACAATAAAGGCCAGGTCCCCAGACCATGGTAAAATTAATGTATCTTCAGTATCAGCCCCTGATCACACCAGGACATTTCAGTTTGTCACATTTGTGGTGTCCCAAGGGATTGTTTCTCCTTTCCTTGAACATCCTGACCAGGAGGAAGGAGTGACTGCTCCCAAACCTGCTCACAGTCACAGGAGAGCCACTCATGGTACAGATATTTCTGTAACATGGTACAGTGGTCAGAACACCATCAAAAAGCATTCAGAAGGCAAAATTCTGCATTACTCTGGCCTGCTCTGAGCTACATGAAGCCCTGAATAGTTTTTTCTTTAAATTCCAAATGTGGGATATCAACAGGGACTGGTCTGGAGGGTGCTACTGAATGTTACCCCACTACTGCAGCTCCAGCAGAGCTCAGGCACTGAGGACAGTTATTTACAAGCTTTTGTGTTTCCAGAGCCACACAGACAGGTTGTGCTTTACAGTTCTAATTCCAAAAATCAAAGAAAAGCTGTGGGGGAGCGAGGGAAAGGGAAATATCAAGGTGAAATTAAAGTTCTCCAGACAGTCTGTGGTGTGATTAAATCTCAGAGAGGCTCTGCAGTCAGGCTCCTTTCCTGTTAGCTGGTTACCAATTTGGCATAAAGAACTAAGCAAACAGGTTTTCTCCAAAGGCACTCACATGGATCATGATGCCAATTCCACCAACTGGCCCAATTTCACTGAAATCCCAAGGCACCTTAATAAAAAAAAATCCTTTCTGGGATAACACCATAAAGCAGCAGGGTTTTCCATGGAACAGAAGAGGGCTCCCCCCCTACAAAAACAAAACCACCAAGAGAAAAATGAAAATGCTATTTATTTTTATGGCTCTGCTTTTTATTTGAACACTTAAAAAGAAGCCAGCTCTGCACTGGATATTCATCTGATTGGGAAAGCCCTGTAAAACACTGGGTACTTGCTCAGCTACCTGTCAGCTGCCACAAAGGAACAGTGGCTTGGGAAGAGGAGAATAAGAAATGTGGAAAATTGTCTGTGTTAAAATACATCTTATGAGAACAGGTTCGAGCTAAAAATCAAAGTGAAGGGGAGAGAAATCCGGTGCAGCCCCACAGCAGCCAATCCTTGTACTATGCCATGAGGTAAACTGATCATGCCTAAGGAGGGGGGAAAAGAGAGTCAAAGAATAACCTTAAACTAATCCACTTCAAAAATGCAACCCTGTTCCATGCCATGGGCTGTGGCCTTTACTGATGGCATGTCTCTACCCCAAGGGACAGAAACTTGAGCATATCTGAAAGCTTCCCAGTCCTGGACAGCATCAAGAAATAATCCTAGAGAATTCTCCCCTCTGCAAGAGCAGCCCTGCACGAGGAATTAATTTTCTTTAAACAGTCCCTGTTCCTAAAAGGCATTAGCAAGTCAAAGATTCAAGCAATAACCACTTGTAGCTATTTAACACTACAACAAACTCATACTGAACATTAAAAGCCAAATTTCCTTTCAAAGCCTGGGCCATTTGCAGAATATTTGAGTTTAGTTTACCACCCTCAACAGACTCTGTCTGCCACTTCTCAGTTTTCACACATTAACATTTTTCTCTTGCACTCAAACCATGCCCTAGACCGTTTGTAACACAAACAATAGTTTTGGTTGGATTTCTGTGAAGTTGCAAGAGGTGCTCTGTATATAAGAGTTAATGAACACCAGCCTGGAACCCTGAATAGTGGCCATTGGAGAAGCTGGAATTATATCCACAATATTCTGCTTGATTTCACAGGGTAATCAGCACTTGCCAATTAAGTTTGAAGAATCATTCAGGGAGGAGGTTCATCATTCAGTGTGTGAAGAAAGGAAATAAAGAAGCCCAACAGTGTGGGCTGAACAACCCTAAGCAGAATGAGGTGAAAGTGAGGTGAGAGTTAGTAAAGTTCTGGAAGAGACAGGCAGTTTACAACTAAAGTTATGGACCATGCCTGAGTACACCCTGCTGACAGCATCATCTGAAAATATCAGAAAAAAAAAAAATATAAACCCCTTGCAGGGCTGGGGGGAGCAAATCAGGGTCATTTCAGAATTTAGCCTCACATGGAAATACTACAGACAAAAAGTTACTACTCCAAGGTCTGTGGTTCAATCCCAGGCTGGAAAGTGGAAAGGGCAGCTCTTGCTTAGCACTGCCAAGTGCCGAGTTCTAAACACTGCAAGAACTCACCTGAATCAAAAATGCTTCTAAATATCTTGATCAAAATATCTTTGCACTATTTCTTTTCAGTTTTAAGGTTTTGCTGCTGCCCAAAGCACAGATGTTTTATTTAACTCTGCTCAAGTAAATCCAGCTCATGTACCATTACATTTTCAATACTCAGCTTTGGAACTCTCTCCTGTAAGTGAAAGCACAAAAAGCTGAGTTCCTTGGGCTACCACTCACTTCCCTTCATTGAGTTGCCTGTTTTTTCACTATTTCTGCCAGTTTTAAGTGGTATCAGAGCAGCAAACTGCCAGCAGCACCTACCTGAGCACACCTTCCCAGCTCAGCCTTGCCCAGGTACCGGAATATCTTCAGTGCCAGCTCATAAGGCAGCTGCACATCGAAAAAAGGAACCTCATTGATTTCATTCTGGAAAGGAAAAAGGAGAAGATCATTTGTGAGGCTGGTATAACACACAGTTTGACAGCAGGAGAAGCTACCATGGTATGGAGAAGGAACGGTGTGTCCTCAGGGCCATCACATGAAAACATCAGGAGTTCTTCTGCCTCTCCCCCCTTTCATGGCCCTTCAAAGGGCAGAGAAAGGCAAGACACAAGCTCTAGAAAAATAGTTTGGCTAAAGTGCCAAAAAGACCCAATAAATAAGCACTTTGAAGATATATGGCCATTATTAATTTCACTTGCAAGGTTTCAATCCCATATGATGGAAAAATTAACAAATATTTTAAATAAAACTGAATGGAGATGATGATGGTTTCTTTCATTAGTAACATAAAAACATCTTTTTAATATGAAATGTTCCTCCTTTAAGTGATTAAGCATCTCAAACAAAAATTTGAAGCCAAATCCATCAATTTAAGCTAACAGCTAAATGCAGCACACAGATTTTTCCTAGATGTATTTTGTTTGGTTAATTACACAGTTATTACATCTTCCTTCTGCAGTTATCACAACAAGATTTATCTTCTCTCTTATCCTGAATGGATACCCAAATTTTTTATACTATTAGAATACTATTAGAATAGAGACAGAGCTAACTCAGCTGATTCTGACCATTTCTATGTCACCAGTTTTGCTCTCCTGTATTTTCTCTGGCTTCTGTCCCCTCCCAAGTGCTCCTGATCATTGTCTATCAATCCTCAAGCACAAAATCAGCTGCTCAGTTAAAACCCATCTCTGCTGTTTGCCTTCAGAAGCTCGGGCATCCCAAAGCAGGATCATTTCCTGTCTCTTGGCACTTCCCTAACCCTGGCACCTTGGTTTCTTTGTTGGTCTCTCCTACAACTACTCATTCTCATTCAAATCCGGGACATTTCCAGTATCAAAGAAGAATAAAAGGGATATCCTGGGTTTATTTAAAGCAGAGTAACTCAGGGAAATCACAATATAACGTGGTGGTGTGGTTTTTAAAGCAAAAGATATTCTACACTAGGCGAGTGTTTAGACAACACAAATACGGGCTATGAAATCAATCAGGTCTTTTTAGCAACAAAACATCACTTTACACACACTGGAACCTCCCACTTGTTCTAAAGTTACTTACAGCAGGACCTGCAGCTAACCTTGCTGCTCCCCTCCCTCCTCATCCACAGTTTCCCTGCCCAAACAGCTCCTTTTCCCTGCCCTGTGCTGGGGCCGCTGGCTCCGCTCCCCGCTGCGCATCCACAGGATCTGTTTTGCTTTCTTGTGCTGCAAATCCCATCCATCTCCAACAGGGACAGCAAAGGAAAACACAAAGGGAACCTCTCTCCATGGCCACATGCAGGCAGGCTCGGAGCCGGCCAGATGTGATCCCGCTCGGCTCCAGCAGCCACGGAACCGTTCTGGAGCCACAGGCTGCGCAAACAAATCAGAGCCACTGGGCGAGGATTGTTAGCTCCAGGCTTAGGAGCTCAGGCACGGCACCACCATGGATGTGCTCCTTCCAAACTGGACTTGACTCGTGTCCAAGCAGCAGATCCTGGGCTGGCTGGATGCACACAGAGGTCTCCCTGCAAGGACACAGCAGTGCTGACACAACGCTCAACACCAACGGTGCTCTCAAGGAAGGGAGGGGAAAAGAGCAAAAAACAGCTACACAGGCTCTTTATAAACTGAGCTGGAAGAGGATTTATACCCTGCTTCAAATAAAACCCAGAAGTGCCTTTTTTTTCTACTTTGGTGCTGCAAAGGGGTCCAAGTTTAAATGAGGAGTAGCTGCAGAAGAGACCTACAAAGAAACAAAGGAATGGGGGTTAGGAAAGTGCCAAGAGGCAGGGGATGATCTGGATTTGGGATCTGCCTGAGGTTCTCAAGGCACAGCACAAATTTGTACTGATTCCATGCTAATGCAATCCTAACATTAGGGGCAGATCCCACACCCCAAAAATTCCTACAGCTTGTCCTCAGCACAAGGAAGTGGGGATGTTAAGTCAGCACCAGTCTGTCTAAAAGTCTACTGGAATGAGTCCAAAACTCAAATATAACCAGCCCCTCTGAGACAGATTCGGGCTCCTGTGTGCTAATGGAGCACTAATTCTGTAAATGGATTAATTTGTGCCTTGCAGACAGAAATTTAATCTGTTCCTTTTAATTTTTTTAAGCAAAGAGTAATTAGTCATAGTGAGGTTAGTGAGAAACAAGAAAATGGGTTTCCCCCCAAGTTTTCCTATACTGTAAATAACATCTCTATGGCATTTAGAGGATTTACCAAAATAACCTTTATCTGGTTCAGAACTGTATTTAAGACTATTTCCAAATTAACTCCTTTATTTAAAGAATTAGAGCTTATTTTCTTACTACGCTGCTGTGTCACAAAGCAGGATATCCTTAATTACTGCACCCGCATCAAGCTGCCTGAGTAAACAACAAAAAACTTAAAGAGGAAAAAAAAAAAGTATTATTTCACAGAGTCTGGGAATATTTCGAGTTGGAAAGGACCCTGGAGGATCATCGAGCCCAACTCCTAGCCCCGCACAGAACACCCCAACAATCCCACCCCGTGCCATTACACACGACGAGCAGATTTTGAAGGGTTAGAACTTTGTAAAAGGGTGTATATTCAGAAGCTGAGGTTATAAATAAGCACACAGGAACAGAAGTTTTCCGCCTGCTTTGCTCTCCGCCTCCCGGTGATTGCTCAGCCCCGCTCCGTGCTCCGGCACCCGGCCCCACCGCGACCCCGCGCCCGCCCTCCCCTCCTGGGGCCCGGCCCCGGCACAGCCCCACCACCGACCCCTACCAGGTCTCGGATCAGCTGCCCCAGGAGATCGTCCCCA